AGTGCAGTCAAGCTCTTTCAGATATCTGTGGCTTCAGCCAATATCACAGTGAGGAAGAACTGCTGGTTGAGCCCAGCTGACACACACTATCCTGAGAGATAATAAAAAATTGTTTTAATAAAATACCAAGTGTTAGGCTAGATTGTGACATAGTGCAAAATCAATACCTTGTTGACTATGATCACAACCACATTACATAATATTAACTGCAGGCACTATAATATCTGTTCATAAGTACCTTTGCAGATGCTGTTCCCTCTGGGAAGTATTCTTTGTGTGGGCAGGAAAAGCCTACTTTTCACTAGTGTGCTGAAGCCTAACCTGACTTCCCCTAAGGAGAAGGGACCTCCCTCTGTGCCTTTGTAATTCTCTTGTTACATATGTAGCGAGGTAGCCGGGTAGGTAGGTAAGTAGGCAGGCAGGCAAATAGAGCTGGGTAGACGGCTGGTAGTTCTAATGAGATTGCAGTGATGTGCATATAGGTCTAGCATACTCCTTCTTTTTTCAAGTCTTTGCATCCCCACTGCATAACACCAAATCGGTACTCAACAACTTTCATTGATTATAGGAATAAACTTTGTTCTAGACTTGCCTGGAACCTTTTTTTTTTTTAAGATTTTATTTATTTATTCATGAGAGACACACAGAGAGAGGCAGAGACACACACAGGCAGAGGGAGAAGCAGGATCCCTGCAGGGAGACTGATGTGGAACTCGATCCCAGGACTCCAGGATCACGCCCTGAGCTGAAGGGAGATGCTCAACCCCTGAGCCACCCAGGCATCCCTACACTTGCCTACAACCTTTACATGGATTTTGTAAAGAAGAAACATGAAACCTGCATTATAGAATCACCCACTATCAAATGCATGTTATAAATGTATTAAATATCCTAACCATCCAACTTTTATATTTAATTATTGAAATCAGTTAAACATCGCTTTTAGTTGTTTCTGGAAGAAAATTCTGGAATGTGGGAAACCATAAATTTTCTTAACATCTTCTGAAGCCAAAGTACTGACTATTGATATGTTCTCATCTTCCAGTGCCCTGGCCAGCTACAATTTATTCCATAAGAAATAACAAAGTTAATCCTTAGAACATTGAATTATTTCAGTAACAAATTACAAGAAATAACAAAAAGTAGACACTAAACATCATCTACTTGCCTCTGGTTCCTTTGCCTTTGCAATAATAAAAATCCAGCATTTGGGGTGCCTGTCTTAGGCAAGCATGTGATTCTCAATCTTGGGGTCATGAGTTTGAGCCCCACATTGAACATAGAAATTAGTTAATTTTTAAAAAATCTGGGATCCCTGGGTGGCGCAGCGGTTTAGCACCTGCCTTTGGCCCAGGGCGTGATCCTGGAGACCCGGGATCGAATCCCACGTTGGGCTCTCGGTGCATGGAGCCTGCTTCTCCCTCTGCCTGTGTCTCTGCCTCTCTCTCTCTCTCTCTCTCTCTCTCTCTGTGACTATCATAAATAAATAAAAATTAAAAAAAAAATTAAAAATCTAACATTTTCCATCTAAGCAGGATCATCATTAAAAAACAAAGGGCAGCCCAGGTGGCTCAGCGGTTTAGCACTGCCTTCAGCCCAGGGTGTGATCCTGGAGACCCAGGATCAAGTCCCACGTCAGGCTCCCTGCATGGAGCCTGCTTCTCCCCTCTGCCTGTGTCTCTGCCTCTCTATCTCTGTGTCTCTCATGAATAAATAAATAAAATCTTTTTAAAAAGGTAAAAATTAAAAACAAACAAAAATAAGGGTGCCTGGCTGGCTCAGTTGGTGGAATATGCAATTCTTGATCTCAGGGTCATGAGTTCAAGCCCCAAGTTGGGTGTGGAGCCTACTAAAAGAAATACAGTTAAGAATTATCAGCCCTTTAAATAAATATGCTTGTATAGATATGTACTAATTATGCAGATTATATTTCTGTCTCAGTAAAATTTCATCAGCATGTTGGGCCATTCCCTGAGGTCTCATTTCTGTATCTATTGGATCACCAGAAAAGACAAGTTTAATTCCCTCAGGAGCATTCAGAATATAAATCAGGCAAAAACACCGATCTGTTGACTCAAAGAGCCTCAGGATATATGAGCATTGGAAGGGAAGTTGGGAGTTTTCTAGATTAGATTCACAGCACTGTTTGGTGCTTCCTATTACATCCTTGTTACATGGGCACCCAGCTGTGTTTGAACAGCTTCAGGAATGAGGACCTTCAAAGTCCTAGAAAACTATCATTCTGAGTGGCTAAAAAAATAAAGCTGTCGACAAAGATATGAATAATTGGCATTTGAAAAAGAGTGTCTTGCCGTAGGGTTTTCAGGCATACATACATCAGGAAATAAATGATGTGAACTTCATGTGAATTCATGTAATTTTTTTTTCAAATTAAAGGATTTAAAGTTCATAATGGCCACAACAAGAGAGTCGGTATTAATCCAACACCATGATTTGAATTGTTCTGATATTTGGAAAAGTTCAAGAGACCGTTCAAGCACTGAAATGATTGATAACTTAGAGAGTAAATTCTTCGTAGATAAGTCAGCTGAAACCCACATGAAGGAAACAGGCTCTAAAGTTGGAAAATAAGAGAAGTGAATGTGATAGCAAAGATAAAAAGTCTCCATGCCCTTCAGTTACAAAGACGATGGATGTGGACTTCAAATTGTTGCATAAAGATACTCAGTTAGAGGCTTTTAGGGATATAGAAAAGATTTCAGAGTCTTAGCACAGAAATACCTTAAGCATGTGCTTGTCTGAAAACCTGAAAAGAGATGAAATATTTATAGGTATTTTTCATTAAAAAAAAAAACCAAAAACCTAAAACTTTATACATCTCTGTCCTCACTGTAATATACACTTTTCTTAGCTCAGAGGGAGAGATATACTATACTGTGTACTTGAGGAATATTTGCTAAAAGAAAGTGAATATGGAAATTTTCCTGATGGTACCCTGAGTATAGGTAAAATGAAGATAATATAATAAATAACTGAATTAAAGAGGTTGACTGTAGTGATCATCTTACATTTTTGGAAGTGATGGTCTTTGTTGGAATATTTTACATCCAGTATATCAGTTTTCCTAAGAAGGCAGATTGGGGGACAGATTTTGAATTAATGATATCTGCTATCATAGACAGATTTATCCCAGTTTCATTCTGCTAAACCATAATACCTTTTTGGTTTTCTTTTTTTTTTTAAGATTTTATTTATTTATTCATGAGAGATACAGAAAGAAAGAGGCAGAGACACAGGCAGAGGGAGAAGCAGGCTCCATGCAGGGAGCCCGACGTGGGACTCGATCCCAGGTCTCCAGGATCAGGCCCCGGGTTGAAGGCGACACTAAACCACCAAGCCACCCAGGCTATCCACCTATTTGGTTTTCAAATATTATTGGACACACTTAAAAAAAATCAAACTATGCTCTTTACAGCATTTATGTAAAGCTTATATAAGTTATCATATTATAAATTTATTCCTTGGCCTCTCAGTTATTTCCTGTTATTTTAGTTTTCAGACAAGATGAAATTCAATCACTTAAAAAGAAATTTACAACCAGGCTGCTACACAAACCCCAAATTCCAAAATTACTTTTATTCTTGGCTTCTTTGGAAAAATGTGTCAAGTTCATTCTTTCATGTAGGTCCAGAAGTATGATCAGGATGTTCGGATTGGTTTTGACCATTCTGTAGAACCTGCTCGTGTTTGCTGTGAGGTATATATGCTGCGTAGTGCAGTTTGTATGTGACCTAGCCAGGTAAGAGGAGAGGACTTAGCCCTCTCCCAAAACAGAAAGGAACAGTAAATTCAGCAGAGTGCATGGCCGCTGCAGTGATGCTCCAAGAAGCTGTGATTTTAGCATTTCAGACAGTCTACAGATACATAGAATCGTATCAGATGTCTTTGAAGTGTCTATATAAGTTGTGATGGTGACAGATGCGAAGTATCTAAAGTATTCAGAAGAGAATGAAGCTGCTTATAGAGCAGTTAAAAGAAACACGTGGTGTAACTTGGTTTGAGCATCATGGAGTGGATTGTATACTAATATGCAGCTTGAACATAGGCAATGGACTACCCCTCTTTTAAAGCATTTGAATTTGTTACAAGTGGCAAAAATAGGGGGTTCAAGATAGCAAAGAGGGTTTGAGAAAAAATCATCCTGGATGAATGCACCCCATCCTCCATTTCATGCCTAACTTTTGGAGGCATCATTTGCTGGTATTGTGAAATCAGGGAGTATGTATACACAGGAAGTTGAATTTTCCATTTGAATTTTTTTTCCAGCCCTAAACTAGAAACTGTCCAAATATCCATGAATAGAAAAATACATTCTCTTATATTTTTGGATCTGTGCCATGGATCATAATAGTGAATACCTTAAAGCACGCATAAAATGGATGGATCTAATCAGTCTGTCTAATAATAAGTGGAAAAGAATGTAAAGACCTGCCTTTTATGTGTCAGGTAGACAACAGGAATTATCTGACTAAATTCTGAAGATGGGCTTATGTGTGGGTCATGTGAGAGCAGTGACCTTGAGTTGTGGGTGAGGTATTGGACGTGGAATATTAGGGCGGCGGGGAGACAGGCAGACAAGGTGCAGTGGTCTTTCCAGCGCTGTGATCCTTCTGAGTCTTTCATCACTCTCACCACATGGGCCAGTCCACCAGCACGAACCATGAGGAGCCCCATCTCTTTTGTGTGTGCCTAGGGGCTCAAAAATGTCAGAGACAGTCCCCTCAGAAGGAAGCTATGATGTGAACACGCCAGTATTTGGCTGAAAATGTAGTCCTAAACATGACCGGTTTAACCTGCCGTGTCTATCACAGACTGTTAACCTTCTTAGAAATCTGTACAGGGGTATGTAATTTATCCAGAGCTATTTGCAGGTTCAGTATTTTGGATTGTCTCAACTAACAACTCCAAAACTATTCTCTTAATACTATGTATAGTGCCATGTCAATGACTGTGCTTCTTGTTTTATGTTTTCTTCCTAGGATTTATACACTTGTAGAATATGACCACTGAAGGCCAGTGAAGAGATGATCTCCAACCCCATCCTTTTTCAGATAAGGAAACTCATACAGAGAGGTTGCAGCAACAGTCCCAAAACACAGGGTTGTAACTTATGGCAGAAGGTGGTTCATGCTTCCTGCAGGTGTTAAATGACCAAAGGTATATTAAAGCCCTTATGTTTTTTCTTCTGTTATAAAACTGCAGGCTTAATGGGTCTGTTTTGATAATCACATCTTAATTAGATTCCTTAAAGATTTTCATTAAGTTCAAACTACACCCACTCACACTACTATTTTTCAGCGCTACTATTTTTCAAAAGCTATAGGATATTTAAATTTTAAAACATCAGAATTCTTTTTTTTTTAGATTTTATTTATTTATTCGTGAGACACACACACACACGCACACACAGGCAGAGTCACAGGCAGAGTCACAGGCAGAGTCACAGGCAGAGGGAGAAGCAAGCTCCCTGCAGGGACCCCGATGTGGGACTGGATCCCGAGACTCAATCCCAGGACTCTGGGATTACGCTCTGAGCCAAATGCAGATGCTCAACTGCTGAGCCACCCAGGCGTCCCAAAACATCAGAATTCTAATCTGCTTAAAACACAAAAATTTTGAGGACACCTGGGTGGCTCAGTGGTTGAGCATCTGCCCATGGCTCAGGTCATGATCCTGGGGTCCTGGAATGGAGTCTTGCATCATGTTCCCTGCAGGGAACCTGCTTCTCCCTCTGCATGTGTCTTTGCCTCTCTCTATGTGTCTCTCATGAATAAATAAATACAATATTTTTTTTAAAACCACAACAATTATTAAATGATTTTAAAATGCCACCCTGGAGTTAGGTTGTCTGTGTTAGAAATTATATTCTTCATGAAATGTTACAGTCTGCTTTCTTGATCAGCATCATTTTCCATAATACCAAATGTGCTTCAGAATTATAAATTGTGAGTTAAAGGTGGTCTTTTGATCAGAATACCAAAACCCTGTCTGCTAATCTCTTCTGTGGGCATTTCACAATTTTTACTGCTATGTGTATTTCCCGGGATATAACTTTTGATTTGTTAAGACAGTTCCCTTTTGGTAAATGTTTGGGAGGAGGTTATTTGGCTTAATATTTCGAGAACAATTGAGAACATTGTGATAAAGGCATAAGAGCCAATAGGTAAGGAGGCTTTTGGGCGAGTTCCATCTGCTCCCTGTATAGTCGTGGGACCTCGCAAGTACTGAGATTTTTGAACTTGAGTTTTCTTGTGAGGAAATGAGTATAGACACATGTATCTAACAGGAATGTTATTGGGATGGTTTACAAATGAAATATTCCATCCAGTACTAAAATATGGTATGGGCTCAATTAATGATATTTACTGTTTTCTTCATGGGTCTTAGAATATCCTTTTCCAGAGAATTATGATATTTTCCTTTCTTATCATCTGCCTGGGGTACTTCACTTTTTAACACATTTGGTTTATGTATTGGGCCTAAACTTACAACTTTATTTGCTCTGATTTTTATCTCTCTCTAATTTTCTGTTTTTGTCCTTTGTAAATGAATAAAGCAGTTATTATGTTATATAAAAAATAATGTATAAAGACATCATCCATCCCATTAATTGATTAAAATGCCAGAAAATACTGTAATGAATGTTTATCGCACTTAAATGTCCCATGAGAATCCTCAGCTCACATAACATTTCTCTAAACATGTGAATATACAATAGTGGATCCCAGATACGTAGAACCCAGAAAAAAAGGAGCCTTGAAAGCCCAGAGCATCTGCAGAGATATTTGCAGATTCTCCCCTTGCATTTGCAGAAAGCTGGAGATACTGTAATGTTGGTAGCGGGGGCAGTGTCCTGCCTCCTTTCTGAGAGACTGAGAGCAGCCGTGCATAATGGCTGTTTTAAGAACTGTGCCTCAGTTTTGTGGTTTTTTTTTTTTTAAGATTTTATTTATTTATTCATGAGAGACACAGAGAGGTAGAGATACAGGCAGAGGGAGAAGCAGGTTCCATGCAGGGAGCCTGATGTAGGACTCCAGGATCATACCCTGGGCCGAAGGTGGCAATAAACCGCTGAACCACCTAGGCTGCCCATGTTTTTTGTTTTCTTTAACGATTGTATTTATTTATTCATGAGAGACACAGAGAGGCAGAGACACAGGCAGAGGGAGAAGCAGACTCCCTGTGGGGAGCCCGATGCGGGACTTGATCCTAGGACCCCAGGATCATGACCTGAGCTGAAGGCGGATGCACAACCACTGAGCCACCCAGGTGTCCCACAGCTCAGTTTTGCGAACCACTCTCAGAAGTTAGAAGAGTAGTAGATAATGCTGATGTACTAAATGGGACTGTATGCTGTGATTTAAAAAAATTTTTTTAGGGCAGTTTTAGGTTTATAACAAAATTGGGAGGGAGGGACAGAGGTTTCTCATAGAGCACCTGCTCCCTCACACATAGTCTTCCCCATTATCGGCATCACTTTCCAGAATAGTACATTTTTTACTAAAGATGAACATTGGCCCATCATGATCACCCAGCATCCCCAATGTACCATAAGGTTCATGATTGGGGTTGTAAGTGCAGTGGGTTTGGACAAACATATAATAACACGTTATCTACTATCATATTTTCACACAGATAGATTCACTGTCCTAGAAATCCTCTGTGGCCTGCCTCTTCATCTCCTCTACTTCTCAACCTAATGCTTTTGAAAAAAACATTAAAAAAAAAAAAGTCACACATGATAATGAAAAACAGAAAAAGAGCAGATTCAGGAAGTCATCCATGCCCTTGACATTTTTAGAATCTGTTAACACTTTCTCCTATCTTTTCTATATGCACAGGCTTTGAACACATGGGCTTATAGTTTTATATTGTGTGGTCACAGCCATGGTGCTTCTAGAACACTATGAGAATGGCTTTCACGTTAACCACTCGTGAGTCAAATAATGTCATATGTGCAGGAAATATAATGGTAAGCATTGTAATTAGTTTTCTTTGTGGCTGTAAACTCGATTTATTTTCCTGTGGGAATATAAGGAAAAATATATTTATATATTTAGAGATACATACAGAATGCAGTGTAACACAAATAGGTACTGATTTTCCTTTTAAAAGTCTCATTTGTAATCCTTTTCATGGTCCACCGAGACTATTTTGTATTTTAATATATCTAATGCAATGTGCCCTTTTCACGGAGTCATTTTGTTTTGCAAAGATACAGACTTCAGTACTTTGTAGTAATATAAAGCAGAAAACTCAAGTCAGTAATCAGATGAATAATTACATATTCTCCCCTCTACTTAAATGTGTACGAGTAACACCAAATGTTTATGGTGTTAACTTGTAATAAGAAAAAAATATTCTGCCTCAAGATGCTCATGAAAACAGTCATTTTTCTTTTTTGGCAATGCCTTTTGGGTGGATACATATTACTGTCATCCTTTAAAAGAATTAAATACAAATTGGAAACTAAGTGAAGAGAAATAAAATGCCACAGAAATTTCAAAGGAAGATTTATAACTTGGATATTATGAACAACGTTACCAAACCTTATGATCTCTGTATCCATCAGTCTTTCTTTGCACAGTGTACTTCAGACATTTAAGATTAATAGAATTAAGACTGGTAAATTTCAGAAGGATCACCTCTGGAGATCCTCAGATAAGATGATGTGACCAGGATGCATTACCATTAAATCTGTCACTAACTTAAAGATAATTAAGTAGATTCTACAAAATAAATTTTTTACCAGTATATTCCAGTGTGAAGGAGGGAGGAGGAAATGGAAACATAAGCAAGAAAGACTCCCTTGATCTTTCCAAGTAATATGGAATGCTTGCCGTAATTGTATCTAAACTGTACGTAGAAGACTGGAGTCAGGAGCTAATCAGATGTTTGAAAATCCAGATAGTCTGAAACTATGCCAATGATGAAAGAGATAGGGAGTCACTCAATGAAATTAGCAACACACACTGGAACTTCTATAAAATGCAGCGGTATAAAGGTGATTTTACATGGAGAACAGTATTCTAAAATTCAGAAAATAATTAACTCTTTGGAGGAGATACACAGTAAAATTGGGAAAAAGTTGGATTCAACCATATTTTTACAGGGCCATGTATTTGGAAATCAACTGTACTGATTTGTGGTGCTTGTTTAACTGTATTGATTGAGGAGCATGGCCAGTTGATTTGGAAAACGAGTTCAGAAGGGAATTAGTTTTCAGGAGTTTTTAACCGAATGAGATATTTTTAAATCCCTATAATACAATTCAGTCTTAACATTAATTTGTGTGTCTCATTTCAGCTTTACTATGTCCTTGATGAGATCCAACCTTACAATTTGTAAATAGGCCCAACATGGCTATTATATGATTACGAGTCAATTTCAAGGATTGATTTTAGAGATGGATTTAGTAATATCTGTGACATTTGTGGAACATGGGGCATGTTAAGGAAGACGTTGAACATTTGGGACAGACTTCTGCTAAAGGCGTAAGGAAGGCACAGGTCAGTACTAGTGTTCTAGGTATGTGGTCGTGGCCAGCACATTTTTAATTTTTTTGGATAATATGTCCCATGTGTACAGTGTCACTAGCTTTGTGGCTTCAAGTCATTTTTTTCTGTGTCCTGTTGCCCATTAAAGTCAAGAAGAGACTTGTTTATAAAAATGCTAGTGTGGCTTCTAACTCAGGGTGACAGGGTAGGAAGCTGATGAGAAATGCCCCTCTGTTTTTTAGAGCTCATTTTTTAAAGTTGATTTGAATGTGCATCAGGAGCCAAAACAACTGTCTTGAGTCATAAATAGGATGAGGTTCCATCCTTCTGTTCTTTCATTTCTCTTCGATTAGCAAGACCTGTTTGAGCTATCTGGTCGAAATAGTTACTTTTCATCATGTTTTAGAAATGTCTTTGTACATTGTAGTGTCGAGTCAGAACACTCCTAGAGCATTCTAGATGAGCATTTTCCCTGAGGAGCGACCCACGTTATAGTCTGCAGAAAATGTTCCAGGCACCCCCACTTTAAATTACTAAAAGATGGCTGTGGAATCACAGAAGGCCCAGTATTGGCTTGAACTCACAATGTCAACGGGTTGATTTTTGTTTCTTATGAAGTGGCCAATATGTGGTTTGGAGCTGTGATGATGGGAAATTTTGGTAATATTAGGAAACCATCCCTCTGCTTTGTAATAATCCAGGAATGTATAAATACTCAAAAGCCGAAAACAGTTTAATAATATGTCTGAAATCAAATAGTAAAAGGAGGATCCTGTCTCTTGCCTTGAGCTAGTTTTAATGAATGTACCCAGTGCTGATGAAAGTAAATTAACATGCAGAAACAGAACCAGGAGGAAGCTGTGAATTGGACATTGACAGTGTACCCCCAGATGACAGGTCCATAAAACCTAGACCCACAGCTGCACCTGGGTGGTACCTGTCCTCATTTAGGGAGACACCCTATACAGTCAGCCCTATAAAGGTATGTACTTGGCCATGTATTCATTCATGTGCAGATGTGAGAAGGGAAAAGCAAAGCATTTCATTTGATCCTAAATATGTGTTGTTGTTGTTTTTCTTCTGATACTAAGGAAATCAGCACATTTTCACAGGCTCCTGGAAGTAGCATGAGCACCTCAGGCAGCGTGCCCTCCCTTAGCTGTGCTGTTGCCACTGCCGTGGCCGCGTGAACACTGCCTACACCTCAGAGTACACGGGGTGCTTTCTCGCGGGGGCTCAGGCAGCGTGCCCGGCATCACTCACAGCAGCGGGTGGGAGCGCGTCTCCTGCACGGATGCCTTTCTGCTCTTCCTCGAGCACATCTGACCCTGTAGTCCACTTCAGATGGGAAACTTACAGTCATCCTGATGTACGTTTCTTGGTTGGCAGTGGGCCGTCTTCTGGAATGTCCAGGGCTCTTACAACGCCGTGTCTTGTAAGAATAAGCACATGCCTTATAAACCATATACTTCATTACTTAGTCGTTTTTAGTCATGTTACGACTCTGATGGAATCCATTCCATTTCTCATTTAGTTTTTTGCTATTGTTGTTTTCCTAAAGATGCATGAATTTTTACTCCTAATTTGGACTCTTTGCTTCCAGGATAGCTTCTCAGATGTTGTTTGCTTGCTTCCTTCTTTCCCTCCCTCCCTTCTACTTATTCCTCCCTCCTGGGTTAGTTCAAGCACTTCTTGGAACCCAGACATTCTCTTTTTCATATTTTCCTGAAATATATCTTCAAGTTATGTCATCAAGGAGACTGTGTAGGACATAAATTTTATGAAGCCAGAATATGTTTATGCTTTGCTCCTTCAGGCTTGATTAATAGTTTGACTGGGTTTGTATCACTTTTCCTGAGAACTCTGGGATATTTTATATGTTCTTTATAATACTCTTTATTTTATATAACCACACTCATATGTGAAATGTCTAAGGCCAATCTTAATCTCATTCACTTGTAGATAATCTACCCTGATTATATATTCTACTCTCTGGGAAGTTTATCTCATTCTTGGCATTTTGAAATTTCACAAGGATTTGAGTTATTCGTTTATAGCACTTTTGACCTTAAACCATGTGTTTCTGACTTTATAGTTTTAAAAATAATGTATTCCTGTTTGTTTTCTTTCTTTATAAGCCTTACTGGTGTGATCTAAGGTTTTGATTGAGCAACAAAATCACTTATATCTCAAATTGTATCTATTTATCTTGTAGCTGTATGTTCTAGGAATTTCCTTACTTAGTCTTCCATTCTTCCAATGAATTATTTCCATCCTTATATTTTTATTTTGCAAGTACTCTTTCTGGGTTTATCATGATTTCCTTTTCACATAAATGTAATTTTTGTTAATAGATGCAAGACGATCTGAATACCGTTGAGGGCTAGGGTGTGTGTGTGTGTGTGTGTGTGTGTGTGTGTGTGTGTGTGTGACATTATCTTTCCTAAATCGTCTGTTTCCTTTGAGATCAGCTTTATCTTTAAAGTACAGAGCGTTTGTTTCGTTTTTTACCTTACCTTCCGCCTAACTTTTTCCTGAGTAGTGACCTGGGGTTTTCAGACAATGAGGTTGATTGTACAAAGTGGTTGGTGAAACTTTCTTCCCCTGTGGTTTTGTGATGTTCCATTTTGCCATTGCTTTCCCCAGTGAACATGAAAGCCATCCAGGTATTCAGTCCAGATGAGCAATTTGTGGAGGACGTAGAAGGTTTTGTTGGATTGAGCTTTTGAGGGTTGGATTTCATATTACAAAGTTCCTGAATGATAAAATAAGGATAGCCCTTACCCTGGGATACCAGAACTCAGCCTGGTTATTCATTTTCTCCTGGCACTCTTTCAACTTGGAAACTTAGGGAGCCCTTTGGTGCTTGTTTTGTGCAGGCATGAGGAAGGCAGCGTGACAAACTGCCTAGGAAATCTCCCTGCTAGCCAGCCTTCATAACCCAGCTCCTTCTACTCTCTGGCCTCTACTTCTTGTCCTCTGAGTCTGATTATCATTACATAATCAAACACGTGTTCTGGAAGATGGGTTGCACTGCTCAGTTTCTTACATGAAGAGTCTTGTTGGAGTTTCTTGTTCAGAAATGAACTTCTTCTACTTTTCTTACCAATTATGTGTTCCTTCTTGGAGGCTGTTGTTTTTAAATGGGTATCTGGGAAGGAGGAAAAACTTCTGATTGTTCTCCACCCACAATGTTGAACCAGAAGATGCCAAGAGTTTATTTGTGCATAACTAAACTTACAGAAACATAACTCCGTGACCACATTTTCATACATGTAATACAGTTTGATGATTCAGATCTGAGACACACACACAATTTGCACAATAAACCCACATTTCATTAACTTTTTTTTTCTTCTCCCATGAAGAGATTGGATAAGCCATCTGTAACATTCCTTCCATACTAATGTTCTTTATCCTGCTACTGTAACATAGTATAAAGAAACATTTAAAACACTAAATGAAATATGCCCTTTTTGAAATTTGTTCACAAACAAAAACCTCCAGTTACTAATGGTACCCTTTTCCTATGAAATGTTTCCATTTTATGTGACATTTACACTAATCACTTGTAACTTGACCTGATTTTATTAGAAATAAGTTTCATAAATAAAAATATAACCTAACTTCTGAAAGCACAGAATATAAAAATACCTTTTGGGGATCCCTGGGTGGCGCAGCGGTTTGGCGCCTGCCTTTGGCCCAGGGCGCGATTCTGGAGACCCCGGATCGAATCCCACGTTGGGCTCCCGGTGCATGGAGCCTGCTTCTCCCTCTGCCTGTGTCTCTGCCTCTCTTTCTCTCTCTCTCTCGGTGACTATCATAAAATAAATAAAAATAAAAAAATTTAAAAAATTAAAAATACCTTTTGTATAGATTTTAACAAAAATATTTTGATTTTGTAAGTATGAAAGTGTATCTCAAACACCTACTTCTTCAGCAGTTTTATTTTAAATCTCAATTGTTTTGTTCTCACTTTTTTTCTAGAATCATGGACATGGAAGCTGAGAGTCTGCCTAATGAACTTAAGGCTGCAGAATGATGTCTTCTCTCTCTTTGAATAAGAGCAAAGAAAATACCTTCCAAATAAGGACTCCTAGATTTTGGAGTTTGCATCCATCCTGCATTCATCACATTTATTTTACATCTGACCCCAACTGTTTGCCTAAATTAGATTGAAAATTAAGGAGCAAAAAAAAAAAAAAGAAAAGAAAAGAATATTAAGGAGCAAAGGATGCCCGCAGCAAAGGAACTGCACATTTTTGGAAGTTTGAGCAAAACAGCAGATGAAACATCAGCTGGGCATCGTGAGCTCGGACTCATTAAAGCAGGCTGGGAGTCACTAAGAGAAATAGGCCTAATCTGTGCAAGAACAGTGAAGACTTAATTTGTGAGGTAGGTGCAACGTAAAAGTAAGGTGTTTTATATTTCATTTCATCTCACTACTAGGAAGTAGCCACTCAGCGTTTGGTATTTTTATCCCACTTGAGTCTAATCTTCCTGTATTCTTCTTTGTTCCCTTCTTTGAAAAGTCACTGAACAAACAACAACCATGACCACAAAATATTAGATCATTTGGTGTATGATGTCCTGGGCTCTGGCATTTTTAAAACTTAGATGTGTATTGTATTTTTATTTTAAGGAGACCTGCACATCCTTAGATACTCTTTACTGTGTGCCCTGATTCATTGTTTTGGGGAATCTGTACAACCTTAAGCATTGAACCAAGTGCTTGAAGGAATAGAAGGATAAATACAATGTAGATTTTGCATTTTATGAGCTCAGAAGGCTACAAGAGAAGCTGGATGGTGAGGCATAGACTTCCCAGGGCCACATTCTTGTGCCAAGGAAACTAGAAGTAGAAGAGACATTCATACTACACAGGAGGTCTTCATGCGTAGGTTACATAGGTTACATCTGAAGTCAGTGTAAAGAACAGGCAATGTCTTGCTTGGCATGTGTTTCATACTTGTGCAAAGGCAGAACTTAGAACATGCTAGAAGAAGAGCAAATGCATCCATTTCAAGGAGCAAACAGTGCATGATGTCAAGAGAAGGGAAATAATGCCAGAAAAGTAGACAGCAGATAGGTCTCAAAGAATGTGAGTCCCATCAGGAGGGTTTTACAGTTAATAAAGCATATAATAATGATTAATGAATAATTTTAAATTATCAACATAGCATGGTCACAGCTGTGTTTCTGAAAGGTGAGTCTAGTGGTGGAGAATAAGAGGGACCTCAGAGCAGAGAGTGCATATGAGGAGTGAGGAGGTTCTTACAGAAGTTTCACCAAAGTCCAGGCTGAAAATCAGAAAGGGATGAGTTTGAGAGCTAGTGTAGATAGTACAAGCAGCATGACTTTAAGCAAAAAGTTAGAGAATTAATCATGGACACTTGATTTCTAAATCGCAGATCCTTAGTTTGGATAGAAGACATTGCTATAGTTTTCTCTCATGGTGTAACACATTACCACAAATCTGGGGGACTTCAAGCAATACCTATTATTAGCTAATAAACAACTGTTATTAGCTCACAATTCCCTAGGTCAGAAATCTAGCAACATCTTGCTGAATTCTCTGGTGAAGGCCTTAGAAAGCTGAAGTCAAAGGGTAGGCTCTGATCTTTAGGCTCTGGAGGAGACTCAGTCTCCAGGCTCATGCACATGCATGAAGAATCCAGCTTATTGTAGGACAGAGGTCCTTGCTTTGTGGCTGGATATTCGGCAAGGACCACTCTCACTTGCCTTCAAAGGCACCCAGAAGTCATTGACACCTTCTCATGCTTGGCATATCTGTGACTTCCCCTTCTGGTGACAAACCAGAGAAAATGCCAGCTTATAAAGGACTCCATGTGACAGGATCAGACCCACTAGGATAACCTCCCTTTCCCTTAACTCAAAATGAAACGATCAGTAACTTTATTGACATCTTTCAGAAACCCTTTTGCCCTGCCCAGGATGTGAACTTTTACATCTGAGGTGTGGGGATCCAAGCAGGGACTCTTGCGTCGGGCCATTGTACAACTACAGCATCTCTCAAGGAATGACTCTGCCACAGGAACAGCACATCTGTGCCTTTTTCTCCTTCACACCAGCTGTGTAATTGGTTGCCTTTTACATTTTAATTCAAGAAATAAAGGCAAAGGAAATGCACAGGTGAGGAGATAAAGAGCTGCAATAAGGCAAAAGTGCTCCTAAAATAGTACTTTCTTTGAAAAGTGTGGGGTAAGCACATATGCTGTGAGTTGGCGCAAAATCGAGCTTGTCAGGAGCTGGGAAGATATTCAGAAATGAAGGAATCTGTCACCACTCAGCTCGTGCCAACAAAAACGTCAGACCACATCAGCAAGGAGGATATGAACTGGGTTGCAGTAATGTGATAAAAATAGAGAATTGTAAATGTAGACGATTTCAAAACTGGCCAGATCTACAACCTGAGAATTACAGTGCTTATTTTATGGCCACAGGATGAAAAAAGGCAGTCATTTGAAATTTATAACAGTTGCAAGTGTAGAGTTCTGACTTTTTGTGTGTATGTGGCTATTACAGAGCCTTCTGTCTTCTAGAGATGGATGGAATCCATAGACTGTTTACCTCCATCTGTCTGTATCTGTGCGGACTCTGCGGCAGAAGCACTGCACTTCACAGAATCTTCATTTTGCCTTTTAATCTCTTGCTGCTCACATTAAGAGAAATTGCTGAAGTGAATTCTATGATGGGGAATCAATTTGGCTCCATATTTAGCAAAGTAAAAGGAGTAGAGTCAGAAATGGAATTGACAGCGAATGGAAATAGATTTTCTAATGGGACTCTTTCTTTCAGATTTCTTTTTAACTTAAATATTATAAAACCACATTACAGTCATGACTTATGATATTGGAGCCAATGCTGTAAAGACTGTTGTCTGTCAGGACAGTCAATGGGACTCCCCAGTGACATCAAGACAAATTAGGAAGTACATATTCTTTGTTTATAATTTATCTGTATTCTCTCCCTCGCCTTTCTCTCTCTTCACATATCTTGCTGTCTCTTTTTTAATAACTATCATTTAATTGTTTAGGTTTTCTAGGTGTTTAAAAATGCTCATAGTATCTTCCACCTTTGTCCCACATTTAAATGAAATATGTTATAGTTTTTCTTCTGATCAACACGATAATATTTATTTTCAGCATATTCCTTCTGAGGCTCAGGTGTTGCATGGCAGGCTATGGTTTTTATGAGCACTGGTTATCATAATTTCAGACGTACCACCTCTAATACAACCAGCATGCTTCAAATCAGTGCAGGGTGTTAAAAATTCCAGTTATGATATTAACACTAGACCTGTATGTAACTACAGAACTATAACTTATATTTTTAAACTTAAGTTACTGGAACTAAGTATGTATAAGGACTGATAGACTAAAAACGTCATGTAAACATGAAAGAGACTTTTGGGAAGTATGAATTTTTTTACATGGGAGACAAATTTCACAAATAATATACAACGGAGTTAACTCTCTTTTAAAATAACATGTAGTTTCATGGTCTACTCTCTTTAATATGGGAATGTGGTACAATTAAAAGAAACATATCACATTTTAAATTCATTGTATCTGCTGGTCTCAAATCTTTTAGGTATTAAATATTTAATTGAGTTAATGAAGAAGCAAAGTATTTAAATATAGATATTTTATCATAATATCTAAGTAACTCAAAGATGATGGCATACCAATGACATTTGTTAGATATTGTAAACATAGCACTATACAACATTTCTTAGTTGTTGTGAGTTTGGATTTGGAACAAGATCACAACGTTAAAGTTGAACTCTTTCCCATTCTGTGTTTCACATTTTGTTCTTGGCCCAAGGGAAAATCACTTTGGAATGCAGTCAGTGTTTTACTTGTGGGAATGGGAAAGATGTGTGTAGGGTTATTGGCCTACATTTTCCCAAAGGAAACTTTAAAACCCTAAATGTAGCCTCCAGCTAATGGTCGTCTTAGTTTTCTAGAACTAAAGCACAGATGAATTGTGAATCCAAGAAGTCTATCTTCATGCCCAGAGAGAAGCTGGCTCAGAGCTTTGGAATGCCCTGGAATCCATGCTTGGATGCCTCTGGTTGGTAGAAAGAACAGAGAAGTGAGAACGGAAAGTGGGAAATTCCAGCCCCTGTAACAGCCAGTATGAAATGACAAGTCAACGGTTAAATACTGTTTCAGAAAGGATTTTACCCCCAGAGAAAAATTAAATCTCTTCCTTCTCCACATGTCCTAGAAGAGCAAAGTCCCATGCATCATTTCCAAATTCCAGAGTTTCTTTTTTCTTAAAGTGAAGATGAAATGTGTGTTGGTAGAGATGAGGCTTCAATTATGCTTTTACTGTGACTGAGAGGGACCCATAAATAGGTGACCTCAGAGCACAGAGGACAAGTAGTATTTGGACCCCAGAGATATGAGCAGTCTTGGCCATCTTGGTGATGATCAGCACCACAGGAGACTGGACAGAGCCCAGGATTTGTTTCTATCCTGAAAACATGACAGCAGCTGAGACATAAACAGAGAAATTTAGGCATATTCACAGACTTGCAACCAAACAGCTCTGCTATGTGTAAATAGGAAAGCAGGACCTTAGAAATTCCTGGGCATGATCACCCTCACACACAAGTCATTATAATGAGTAATACGACATCACATTTGTGATTTGAACATCAGTTTGACTCCAGTGATTGTAGATGACTGACAAGTTTGCATTTTGGTCTCTCAGTTTGGTCTTAAAATTTCCAAAGCATCTCACTCAAGAGTGAACTATTGGGTATGATGAATGTCTCATAAAATATGCTTCAAGTCCTTATAATTACTAGCATGCATTGTAAGAGAGAGAACAGTATTTTTAAATAAGAAGTGTTTAAAATACAATCCTTGAAAGATACTTTGTAACCTGAATGTTTGGTAGTATACAGGTTGATTATATAGCATCACTGTTTATGGATTTATTTATTTTTATTTTTTTTCAATTTTTATTTATTTATGATAGTCACAGAGAGAAAGAGAGAGAGGCAGAGACATAGGCAGAGGGAGAAGCAGGCTCCATGCACCGGGAACCCGACGTGGGACTCGATCCCGGGTCTCCAGGATTGCGCCCTGGGCCAAAGGCAGACGCTAAACCGCTGCACCACCCAGGGATCCCTGTTTATGGATTTAAAATGAAGCTGAGAGGGTACCTGAGTGGCTCAGTTGGTCAAGCATCTGACTCTTGACCACAGTTCAGGTCTTGTCTCAGGATTGTAAATAAATCATAGGGTTACAAGGAACATCATAGAGAATATAGTCAATTGTACTGTAATGGTGTGGTTTGGTGATAAATGATAGCTATGCTTGTGGTGAGCATAGCATAGTAAAGAGAGTTGTCAAATCACT